TATATATATATATATATATATATATGACAGTGATCAATAGATCAGCTGATTCGCAGGTTCATCGACTTCATCTGGTTGGGTCAAGCTCATCAAGCACTCACTGACACGTAAAAATTCTGACCCTACTAAGCCTCAGTAGCCTCAGCTTGATGGCTTTAAAACTCATGTGCCGAGTCTAGTGTAAAAATAATCGATTTCATTTGACAGATTCTTTATGGTAATACCATAGCAGCGCAAGTTTTTGAACGAAAGCTTCCAATGAGGAAAGTAATGTTACACCTCACAAGTGGGACGGATCATGATCTTGATGTCGATTTCTACTAACTAGTCTTTCTAAAGGTCGTGGTAGGCAACTTAAATGATTTAAACAACAAGCAAATATGGAAAAATTCCAGTCCCCATGGCCCAACGTTATTAGGATTTAGCGAACCACGATTATCCGCAGTTACTCTAGCTTATAATCTTAAATGTTACCTCCAAACGATTCCAGCATCATAAATTTTCAAGTCATGTGCTTAGCGCTGCAAAGCATTACTGTTTAGTAGTTTCAATTCTGTGGAGTCAGAACAGAAAGGAGAGTTAAGTTTCCTTGATTTCAATGGTAAATGGAAGAAACTGACGGCACCAAAGAATGCAAAGTCCACAGAGGACAAACGTGGAAGGTCAGTATGTTCACTTCGATAACTTTGTTCCGTCACAACAAAAGCGTAATCTAATTAGATGCCAGACTGAAACAGCAATGAGGATATGCTCTCTTAACTCTTAGAAGAGAAACTGAGGTTCCTGGAACGCACATTCCTGCAGAAAGGATATCCTGAAAGTTTCGTACTCAAGACTGTGGAATCCGTTAAGCCCAAACCTACACAATGTTTTGTTGGAGAGAAGTCAGTCTACGTGGGGCTGTCATTCAAGGGTGACTCTGTTGGTGATTTAATTACCAGAAGGATTAGAAACCCTGTTGGTACGACGTACTTGGCAGAAATTCTGTGTTTGAGCTTCAACTCCAGCCCCACTATCAGTTTCCGCTTAAAGGACAGATGGTCACGTCCTACCACCAGCTTTTGTGTGTACTCATTTGTATGCGTTGGTTGTACAACAAGGCATTTGTCGGACAGAATGCAAGAACACAATTCCGTATCTGTGAGTGGTAGTTGGAAGAAAACAGGATCAAATACGATTGCGTCATATTTGGCCGAAACCATTCATGTCATCGCGCAAGCCGCCACCAACGTATACCGGGCACCTCTAAACCGGTCACAACTGGTACAATCTAGACTACAATCGATCGCAGAGGCGATTGGAATCCAACCCACAAATTTGCGTCCAAGGGACCTCTGAACTCGAATTGGCCTGCGAAAAATCCGGTGACATTGAAGTCGACTACCTGATTCCGTAACTCATTGACCTACTACACACTCAACCCCCCTTCCTTTGCTTTCAATTTCTCTAAAGTGTATGTGCCCCGATCTCAACCTTTTCCCCTTGATTTCTCGTAACATATAAATTTTTTTATTTATTAGCCAAGAGGAACAACCACAGAAGGCAAGCCTTGTTCGCTAACTTCATAGCCCGGAAAGTTGAAAAAGCTTGAATAGCTGACTGAGGTTATCCAGTGCTCGCCGGCTCGCCTACCCTGTGCAACGATCTTGCCAAGATACGCACAGTCTTTGAACAGGCCTCCAGAAATCCAAGTGACATCGCAAGCTGTAGAAGAATGTGTGTCTCGGAAGTGTGAGTAGCTCTCACGGCAGTGTGACACACAAAGGTAATGAACAAATCTCAGAACCCACATTTTGGCTTGTCGTTTTGCGCTTCTTGCGGCATCGTAAAAGCATCTCACTGGGTCTCATAGCGGGCATATGTCAGACTAGAGGACGAGCTCTAGGCTTGACCACTTCGGGCACAGGGTCTGAGGTATCTTCAGGTATCTGATCGATCACTGATGTCTCAAAACTATGACTGAAGTCGACTAGAATCAACGTATACGGGACGAGGTGGTTAACAGGTGGGGGGGTTTTCTTGAAACAGAAGGATGATCAGGTGAACGGACCATGTGCTACGCGGGTTCCGACTTACTTTCTGCCTAAAATAGTGCATTTTTGGTGTTCAACTTGGAGTTGTGCAAAGTTAGAGTTGGACAGAACACGGTATGGTAAAAGTGAACGTAGGATGTTACGGAAAGTTTTGCGCGTTGTCCTCCCCACAGAAAGAGGCCTACGTGACCCACCCTGTGCTTCACTGGAGACATTGATAGATACGGTCTCAGTAACGCTGATGCTGTCAGTTTCTGTCCACACTTTTTGACTGAGTTCTGGCAGTTCAGGAAGGAGAGATGTTTATAGTAGGCCGGTCCTCGGTTCCTTCTTTTAGGTAAAAGGTTTCGTTGAAATAAATTGACAGCAGTATGGTAGTGAAGCTCCATTGTTCTTACCTGATGTTGTTCTCCGTGATGATGATGATGATGGCGAATCTAGAACCTAGCAAATCAACCTTCGGAATAATGTACCCAGGCAAGAAGCATGTTAGGAAACACGGTTCAGCGAGTCATCATCATCATCGACAGCATGACATCAGTGTTTAGCACCGACGCTTCACTGCCGTACAACCATGATTTATTTGAAAGCCTTATTGTGAAGAAAAGAATAAAGGTGGAAGGGGAAGGGACGTAGTACTAGCTTACCACAACTATTCCAAGGTGCCCACACCTTCAGACACTCACTCAGGTGAGCTGGATAGAAACTGACAACAAGAACGCTACTGGCATCGGTTAACAGCCATATCTTGTAGTGTCTCCAACCAGCCACAGTGAGGATCACGCGGCCCCCATCCTGAAAGGCGAGTAGCACCGACAGCACCCGAGCGTTTCGTGATCTCCTTCATACTCCTTTGTCAAGTCAAGGATTTGGTCACCTCTCTGTTTACGTCACTCTGAAATGGACATAGAAAACAGCACTCTCTTCGGCAAACGATGGTTCGGCATACGCACCACATGCCCCAACCAACGCAGCTTCTGGTGCTGGACACATTCTTCAGTGGAAGTACCAGAATATTGGCCTGAAAACTTTTATTGATAGATAGCTTACTAGCGCGTTTGTTTGAACAAACTAACAGAATTCCATCGAAATAGACGGCCATACTGATGGGGCACATCACAGAATGCATGTGGATCATTCCACCCCCATAGGTACGGCAGTCGCCTGCGATCTAAGCAGGTGATAGACCGTTTCCACAAGTAATATCACTCAACACTGTACACTTACATTTATTGCCTGGTATGTAAGACTAGTGACACCTCGAAGAGGGCAAAAGTAACATAGGTAAAGGAAAGTTTCGTTCAAATTAAGCCAGTAAGACACAAGTAGAACTCATCCTTTGTGTTATAGAAGTACGAGGCTTTCTCCTTGAATGGAGAGCAATGTTTGTCGTCAAGGCGGCAATCCCCACCGCGGTTAAGAACCACTGGTGTGGCAATATTTCCGCTTTTAGCTCTTCAAGGAATTTAAACGTTGAAGTTGTCTTTGCTCAAAGCATCTATCAAAGTTAATTCATAGTCCCGGTGTTTTAGACGATGGTAATAAAGTTCAGCCTACCGCTTTTAAAGACAATTCAGAAAAGCTACGCAAGCCCTCCCATTTTGGTGGCAAAAGTGCTTATTACAACTAAGTTAGATTGTTCAAGTAGATCAATTTAACTATCATTACCATGGAAACGTGTCGGAGCAAAGTTTGAAGCCACGTTTGAGAAATATTTCGGTGCAATTGCCGGGGTTGTTGCTACCAGATTGGAATCTAATGCCTGGCTTCAAAAACATTTCCAGCCGCAGTGCCACAACTAGAAACGATATCGGCGCTAAGGACTGTGTAAATCGGAATGTAAAAACTATTGATTCCGCAGTTCCTGCAACGGAGAGAACGAATGATCTGTGACATATTCTTTCAGAAACATACTTGCCTACGCGGACCATCGTTGAAGCTCAATTTGGAAAGTCAGCATGGAAATGTCTTAGTACTCTGTACGTAGACATTCCAAAATCACCCACGCGCGAACTTTGGGAAGGTTGTTGACTTCCTGTCGGAGTGGTAACTTTCTGTGGAAAACGTGAGTTCTTCCCTGGTCTACAGCGATTTCAAGCAGTCTGATCGATTTCTGAATTCCCTGCATCGGCATCACGTGTGTGCATTTTCAGACACAGCGTAAAAGTGAAGGGATTTTACCCGTCAACAACTTTCGTGGTATTCTATGGATGCCAAACAGCATCTGTGCAGTGTCTGAGTAGTACCAAATGTGGTAGAGTTGCTGGCTCACTAGAAGCCCATTTTCGGACAGCTCTCGCTTCGGCACAGTACATCCATGCGAATTCGGAATCAACTACTGGAATCCGGAATGCCATATCCGTCAGTTTTCTAAACAACATACAATCCTTGTATGCAATAAGAACACCGTCAGCAATGTTGTGGAATGTAGGTAGCTCTGGTGCATTGTTTGGTTGTTGGTCTTTTCGCCGAGCTTGGCAGTTAGATTGCAAGCGTTTCATCACCAATCAAGGTGACATCGTCAGTGCAGGGTTGCGTAGGTGAATGTCTACTCTTCTGCCTATGATTATATAGCTTCTAAGCAGTATCTGGTAGTTCTGGAAATGATCTTCGTATAGTTTGATTGGTCTCCTGTGAATCTGGCGTGGTCTCAATCTCCTGTCTGGTTGGTTCGTTGGGCGCATTCAATTCGGCAGTTCTGTGTGTGGTTGTTTCGCTGTCATTCGGCCGTTTTCTTCTCGCTGTGTGGTGTGGGTTTTGTTTACTTGACTGGTTAATTCATCGGCCTTCTGTCTTTCGTGATTGTCTTTTTTTGACCCAATTAGTCCGTTGCTTGCAAGAACAATTCACTTCACGAAGACAGAGAAGGACACAAGTTCAATTGGGACAATGTTCAAATACTTGCTCACGCAAGAACAAAACGGGAGCGGGAATTTGCCGAGGCGTGGTACTCCACACAAAAATCGATCAATAAACACATCGACAATGACCCAGTCTATCAGCCATTACGAGCGAAGGAACCATACAGTCAAGCGACTCCGGGTCAGGAGACCTAACGGCAACCAACACTAATAGGGTCAAAGGAAGACAATCACTAAAAACAGAAGGCCGATGAATCAACCAATCAAGGGAACAAAAAACCCACGCCACAAAGCAAGAAGAAAACGGCCGAATGACAGCGGAACAACCACACACAGAACTGCCGAATTGAATGCGCCCAACGAACCAACCAGACAGGAGATTGAGACCACGCCAGATTCACAGGAGACCAATCAAACTATACGAAGATCATTTCCAGAACTACTAGATATTGTTTAGAAGCTATATAATCATAGGCAGAAGAGTAGACATTCACCTACGCAACCCTGCACTGACGATGTCACCTTGATTGGTGATGAAACGCTTGCAATCTAACTGCCAAGCTCAGCGAACAGACCGACTACCAAAGAACACCGCCAATCTTCCTCTGTATGTTACACATGCAGGATCAGGTAATATGTGTGAATATGGCTAAATCAGAGCAGTCCAAATACGCGAAAGGACATGTAGTATTCGAAAGCAATATACAAACTTAATTAGCATAGTACGTTTCAAGCTGAAACCAGAGACTACAAACTTGAGCACTTTTTTGACGATCTTGACTTGTCTACAAATAGTGAAGCTCTCTACGCCTTTCCACAATTCTGCTTCACTCAGCCTAGACTGTTGTATGTGATCCGCCTTTGAAAGAACCCGTCAATGCGTACAAGAAGCACTTAAGAGTAGGGAGACAGCTTAAAAAGTTTGCAGCCGAAGCTTTTGGAGTAGTTGATTTTTTTTGTCCTAAAATCGAGCCGCGCAAGCATGGAGAAAACGGTAGAAATTATTTTCTGCCAGAAAAACAAGGAGAAAGCTTACCAGGGCTAAGAAAACTCGTTGATTGCCAAGAACAATGATGTGAGATGCTCCAACGGACCGTGCGAATAATCAAAAACGTGCTCCTCGAATGAGGCCAGCGTAAATGGCGCTCTTTTTCTTCGGAGTAAAAGCACACAAGTAAACACACAAGTAAGTCACACAACCTTGTGTGCCTCCATAAAATCAGTTTTGTTCGTTTGATTTATCTTCATAGATCAAACGGCGTAATTGAGGTAACCTGCCCAAACACACCATTGAAATGTGGTCTGTCCTGTACCCAAGCAAGGACTCGAATTATTCATCAGTAATTGTTACTACCTGTGTAACAGTGATACTACTGATGGGAGTGACTTTTGAGTAGCATGTTTTCTCGTAAATCCGCTTTGTGTCCCTTGAAACGTGAGCTCCCCTACGGAATTTGCGGAGTCACTTTGTAGTTTTTGTTTTGATTTGAGCAACAGTCAATGAATATTCAGGAAAGTTCAGAAAGACGCGTTCAAAGAGAAGATGGATATGCAGTTTTTCTAAATAAGATGCATATGGGAGTTTTGCTTCCCTGTCCAATAGTCTGTAACTAGTCAGTTGGCATTTTCTAATAACTAACTTCGCAACGAAGGCCTTCTTCCCTTCATCTGTTCTGTCTTCCATTCCGACCACTCACTCTTCTTCTCAAACTGTTAGAATTTTTTTTACAAAACAAACGTAAAACACCACTCATGAGGTTACTGAAAACATAATAAACGGGAGATTCAGCCGGCTTCCAGGTAACTCCCC